ATAAATAAAAGTAAGTTCACTAATTCCTCTTGTTACTCTAATTTTTAGAATTTTTATGTGGCCAAATAAACAAACCCAAAGTAATAATAATTTTCATGTATGAGTGCAAAAAGTATCTCAATCAAGTGTAGGAAGATTACCAGAATTGAGGTGTTTCTATTTCTATTATTCTTATTATTTTCGTTATTTGTATCAAATGACATAACATTTTTTTCTCCTCATTTGATTACCTCCTCATGCACATGCTGATGGTTTCTAGGGTTTTGAGCCTCACAAGGTTGGCCCTTTAATCTCACAATCCAAAGATATTTTTGTAAAAACTATCATCTCATGTGAAGTGTGCATATGGCTACTTGGGCTCAAACTAACATTATAGCTTAAAAATGGCCAAAGACAATGGAAATTATTGTCATAAACACAATTTGCTTGCAGCTTCAAAATCATTAGGTTTTTCTATTTTAATTTTTATAATTTTTTATGGTTTTATAAAGATATGATGTGGGTGAAACATTGAGGAAGTTTCCAAGGATTTGAAATTCTACAACATGATTCACTAAAAAGAGCTTTTTAAATCCAGAACATTCTTGGTTTTCAGCCCAAATCTACTTTTGGTTTTCCTTGACTTGAATGTTTACATGACAAAGAATTAAGAATTTCATCAGGATTGGTGACATTATTGATATTTTTAATAACAAGTATTGATAAAATCAAAATAAATTGAAGTCCTATCTTGAGTAGAAGAGCAATCACAAATGCCCATATGCTTTTGATGAATAGTCATAATCATAATAATCACACTTTTAGTTTCTAAACATATCATTAAGCAAAAAAATTCATATACATGTACACCACAAATATGAAGTGAAAATGTGTAATCAATCAACGAATAAATATTTAGACTTATACTTACATGCACAGTTTTGATTTAAAGTCAAACTTCTTTTCTTTTCTTTTCTTTTCTTTTTTCTTTTTCCTGCTCATAATGGAGTATTCAACCCTTAAAAACTTTAGAATAGAGAATACGGCACCTCGATCATGTGATTATTTTTTCATATTGAATGCTTTTGCGTGCCACTTAGATGCAACCTATTTTAGCTCAATTTCCACACACTTAAAAACACATCATCTCTTGGAAGAAAAAAAAAGAAAAAAAAAAAAGAAAAAAACTTTTGTTCATTTATTTACACATTCAATTCAGTCAAAAACGCTTTGAGTCACATGCACAGGATAATTTAAAATTAGGAAGCACAATTGCACAAACTCATGGCTCAGAAACAAAAGAAGAAAAGAAGATAGAAAGGAAAAAAGAGAAAGAATTACTGCAGAATAATAACTAGAAAGTTGTGATTTTGTTTTAGAGTTGAGAATTAATTTAATGTACAAATTTTATGTTATCCTTGAATTTGATTTGTATCCATGACCTTTGTGAATATGGAATTAAAATCCGTGTATTGAATAATATTTATGTTTTCTTTGCCCTTGGATCTTTTTGTTAACACTTTGAAACTAATGGACAACTTCTGTCTTGTCAACTGATAGAATGTATTTTGCACTTCTTTAATATTCAGTAATAAAAGAATACAAATATTAACAATTGATATTTAATAATTTATTAGCAATTTTTTTTTACATTACTTGCATGTGAACATACACATACATATATACATACAAGCAGATTAATAGAAGATAAATGTCAGTATAAAAACTTTAAACTAAGAAAAATGAGATAACCATACAAAAAACATATTATAAATTTCATGAAGCAATTTTACAACATAGCTTTTGTATGTATATATTATATTTCTTCATTGATTTAAAAATTTATAGCTAACAATTAAAGAATATAAATCGTATTAATGATTAATCAAGTTTATTCTAAAACATATATGTTGTAACCAATTTATTTTTATGACGCATCCTACTCAATGTTAGAAACTTTGATTTTGATATTATCTGATATACATAAATATTTTTTGAAATATTAAAATAGAAATAAAATCATAAATTCAAAACAGTCTCATGTTCTTCTTAATGTTCATTTCCCACATGTATAATTACATTTTGTAACTATTATGAATCTTATTTTTAAGGTACTCTCTGGTACATAATAAGTGCTAATTACAAACATTCAGAAGGATTAAGTGACAAAGTATTTGCAATTCTAAAAAACCACAATTCTATTATAAAACTCTACTTTACAACTATCAGACAAGTCAGATGCTAATGTGGATGAAAATGAATGAAAACTAAAGAGAAGCTCATTCCTTCGCCTGCACAAATAGAAAATCAAAAAATCAAAATCTGATGCCGTGAATCACTATATCTAAAAATAGACATACTCACGCATACACATCCTCTACTTGAATTTGTAGTTAAATGTGTTCCATTAAAAATATGTTTTTAATTATTTGTTTTTATTTATTTTTTAAAGTGTTTAAAGTGTTAAACAATGCCTTTTTTAATAAATAATTATTTCATTATTTCTTTTCTTGTGTGATTGATAATGATCCTCTAGAGCATAGATAGAAGATGCAAGAGGAAGTATGGAATAACTTTTGCAGAATTCATCAATAAGACCACGTCCAAGTAGGACACACTTGACTTTAAATTTACAAAAAAAAGGATAAAATGAATAAATGAATAAATAAACAAGTCACCTTTTCTCCCAGTTGCCCCAATATCATCTAATATTTTTCATTTTTCTTTTCAGAATTCAAATACATGAACCTATCACAAATATAAATTAAATAGCCACAATAATAAACTATTTTCAGTCCTAATAACCCAGTTTGTCGGTAGGTATATAAGCGTGATATTTTTAGTATAATACTATCTTCCAACATATCTTGTTGTTCTTCATTTAATGTGTAAAATTGGATTCCTTTGGAGAACATTGGTGTCTCCAAAGTATTCTAATTCCTTCTCTAAATCTTAACACCTTTCACTTGAATGTCTAAAATGCATGTCTCAGATGGTTGATTAGTTTTTGAATTTTTTTGAAAATAATATCTTGCATCATGCAATTGCATTTAAAATTCATTGGTGCTCACATTTTTTCTTGTGTCTATCATTGTATATATATTTTTCAAACAATAGGACAAATTATCCATTTGTTCATTTATCTAGAAAGACTTATAATTATTTTAACTCTTTTAAATTCTGGTGGTTTATATATATATATATATATATATATTGTCACAAGACTGACTTCTACACTCTCCAATGTCATAAAATATTTATTTATTTATTTTGATGAACAACAGATTTTGAAAGCTATTAATAAGATTCAATCATATAAACTACATGCTTACTGGAAAGATAATAATGTTTTTGCAGTTTAAACATACCAATCCAATCATTTTTATGTATTTTTAATATTATATGTGTATAATTTGACAACAATAGGCATATAAAAAAAATCTAAATCTAAATATATATATATATATATTTGAACAAGAGTAACAATTTTATATATTTATTATATGAGGCTAAATTCCATTACACAGCATGTTGATTTATTATCCAAAGAAAGGAAGTCATATAGTTCCAAAATTGGAGGTTTTGTGGAACAAGAATAAAATCTAGTACTGATTTAATTAACGTTTAAATAATTCTTTCAATGACTGAAAAGTATATATATATATATATATATATATTTAGTTTATTACACTCTATTTTGGACATTGATGTTTATTGCTCTGTTGTTTGTGTGGTTTTTTGACTTTTTGTTGTTCCTTATTAGTAGAGATTTGATGCTACTAGCTCTTTTGTGTTTGATGGCATCTTAAATTTTCAAATGCAGTATTTTTCTCAAAAAAAGAAAAAGAAAAAAAGAACGTATTTAAAGAATAGTGTATCTTTTTTCTTTTTTCTTTTTTAAAATTTTTTTAGCTTTATTTTAATGGTTAGTTATGCAAATTTCTATTTTTCTTTTAGGGATATTTTTTTAAATACATATATTTTTGACTTATTACTATGTTTGATAATCTCCTAACTTACCAAAAAAAATATCAAAAATAAAAATTATTATTTGGTCAAAATGCATGGCTTTTTTGAAGATTTTAAATGTCAATAGCTATTATTGGAATAATATAATATAAATTTTGTGGCTTTAACATCAAAGACATTTTTCTATTTCATGAATAGAGTGGAATATAATTGTCTTTTTTATATATATATATATTTTTTAAATTTTGGTAATATAATATATATAACGTTATATATATATATTATATTACATTATATATATATATATTATATTACATTTTATATATATATATATATATATTTTTTAAATTTTGATAATATAATACCTAAAATTTCTTTTTATCATTTTTTTTAAAAAATAGAATAAGTTTTCCTCTTGTTACTTTTATTTGATTATTGAATATGTCAATTTTTAATACAATACATAATACAATACAATTTTCAATTTTTTAATTTTAGGGTTATTTTAAAAAACTATATTGGGAATCTCTGACCATCTTATTTGTATCTATTTCCACTTAAGATTTTTTTACAACTATATCTTTGCAATACATTCTATAAAATTTCATAAATATTATGAGTTTCTTCTTAATATGTCTTTCACTGTGTCCATTGCCCCATTTTGTAAATATTTCATTGGAATAAAAAAATCTTTGAATTTGAATTAGTTTAATTTGTATAAAGATTTTGTAGAAAGAGTTTTTTTAAATTGTGATGGAGTTGTCTGGGAAGGTGATTAGAGAATTTAGTATCCTCATAAATTTCTGGAATATAAATGAATGAATATATATATATATATATATATATATATATATGTACAATACATTTTTGGAACCAATCATATCAAGTATTAAGCATATATTCTCATGTTGCTCTTTACTGTTTTCTTTTCTGCATACTAAAATCAATTAAATGTTTTGTTACTTTTAATGTAACTTTAATAATATTTTAAAGAATAATCTGTATTATTTTATTTCCATCAATAATTCAACATTTTCTACTAAATCCTTTATTTATAGAGACATAAAAGTGTATAACTCCTTGGCTCCAATACTATTAGATTTCTTCACATCTGTTGGTGAAATCTTCAAGATATAAAATTGAGTTTTGGCCACAACAATTTTTTATTCTATTTTTATAAATCATGTACTCTCAAAAGATTTTTTTTTTTTGCAACTATATTGTATATCATTAACACAGTTGTAAAAGTTTAATCACTTAAAATATTTTGATATTGTGGGCATAATATTTTACATTTATAGATAAGAGAGTCTGTTGTTACAATTCTTTTTTTCTTATTAGAGATTAAATCTACTCACTTCTATTTGTGATAGCCTAATTATTCTTAAGTGTTTTTAAAGTTGAAAGAACTGAAAATGATTGTCCATATTTACTACCATCAATGTAAAAATACAATTTTTTAAGACTCAATGCATTCATAAATATTAATCATATTATTATTGAATGCGTATATGTTTTCTATTACAATATGCTTAATGTATGGTTGAAAAAAAAGTTTCAACTTTGTATTTATCATCCTTTCTACACCATTGTCTTGTACACCAACTTCTGCATGTAATAGCATCTTATTAGCGAGGAATTTATTGGAGAGCTATAGCCAATTGTTATGGCTTCTTTGTGCCAACATTCTTAAGTAGAAACTATTAGTTACTATTCTTACATTTGGATCACTTCAACGTGTAACATCAATTGATTGTTTATTGAATTGCTCATGTGTTATAGAATTCCAACTTCTATATTAGCATTTGCAAATAGCAAGTGGTGTTTTTAATTAAAATATTCAATTGCTAATAATTTCATTTTCGGATTTTTTTTTCTTGGTGCATTTATTCTATTGTTGGTATCACATGTGAAACTTTCTTTTTAAATATGTCCTTTATTCAAGTAACTAGCCTATTTTTATTGTAGTTTTGATTGTTGCTACTTCTTAATAATCATTTATATCTTAGGATTCTTTTTTGATCAAGACTTGTTCTTACTCTTGTTTTATACTATCCTTTGTACAATTCAAATTATGTGCCTTGCTCTTACATATTCGGTTCAAGTGGATTTAGATTAGGTTCTAAGACATCCTAACATTCCAACTTTTTACTCTTTTATATAAAATTGTGTCAACAAAGACTTCCTTTGGTTGTTGGCTTTTAATTCCAACCATAGGTAGATCAACATGTATTCCTACATTAAGAACTTGGTATTTTTAAAATTTTCATATTATTTTGTTGGAATTTTGGTCTTACTCTTAGTATTTTTGAGCAAGGTATTTTTTTTTCATCTTAAAAATCTAATTGTTATATGTTCCATACAAGTTCTTCTATTTAAAATGTGCACACATTATAGCAGCAGTGCAATGTGGAAATAATATCAAAATTTTGCAGCTTGTCTCTCCTGAGTTTCCTATAAAATAAAGCAAAAACAATTCTCCACAAGTGTGTCTTTCCACTCACAGTATATGTAGCAACAACATGATTCTCAACCTGAAACTCCATTGCAGCACAGACTACATCACAATCCGCTTCCTACTCCTCAAGGCTTTGTTCTCAACACTACATATATACTCTCAAAAATTACCACATTGTAACTGCTTACCATAAACATGTTTGGTCAAAGTGCAGTTATTTGAGTTATTTATAGTATATTATGTTATATTGTATCATTTGGTGTTGGTGATGTAGTCTCACTTCACATGGGATCCTCTCCCTCCCTCCCTCTCTCTCTCACTGCCCTGCACTGTGGGTGGGTCAAATGGGTGGTGGTGGTGGTGGTGTAACCCTAATCAAAGAACACCCACCCACACATACACCTTTTGTTGTTCCAACTCCAGATTCAAATCATCCTTGGCCCCCGTGCCCAATTGCCCCCCTTAACCCTAAGCCCAGCCCAGCCCCATAATATGTATATATATATATACATGCCACCACCCTTGACCCTCCCTCCCCCATTCACATGTGGGAACTCAATGGGGGGAGAGGCACACTGTCCCAAGTCAGCATTACTGGGTCCTTCTGACACATGTCACTGTGCCAGTGGTGGATGCTGATTCCATTACTGTGGCTCATGTAGTGGACTGCCAATCCAACACCATGTGAGTGTTTTATATGTTTATTTATTTATTTATTTATTTATTTATTTTTTGTGTTTATTTTAGGGTTGGTTTATTTAGTGTTAGTTTAGAGGGCACAAGGTAAAAAAAAACACTCACGCACTGTGTCTGAAACCCAAAGGAGCCTCTACCACATGGGATGATGTATGTGTTAGAAGTGTGAGTGAATAAGTAGGAGTTCTTGTGGGGCTTACTCCCATTCTTAATAGAAGATAATGAGTATAAGTTGAGTTATGAAAGCGTATACAGACACACACACACACACACACACACACATACATACATATATATATATATATATATATTCTTATATATTCAATGTTGGTCACTCTCACACAAAGATGTCTTTTTCTTTGTAAACTAATAACCATAAATATGATACAAGCATGGGCAACTTCAAAAATCATCATGCATTAGTTCTTGTTCCTTTTGCTATGGCTTGGACAAAAGCATAGCTTGTATGAAAGTCAATGTGCTATTTGAATAGAAACCATACACTTTCGTATCCTTTTTGTGGTGGTTTGTCCTAACACAAAAAGTTCCTTTGTGCTTTGAGAATGAACTATATATATATATATATATATATCCCTGATTACATACTAATGGCAACTATTTCAATTGGTCCCCAATCCGAAGAAGTTGTGAACCATTGCAATTCTCATATTTCCACCATAAAGGCAAACATGGCATTGGACATGGCGTGCTTATCATCAAAATTGAGTAGAATGCAACTCTAGTATACAAAGAAAAAAGCTTTCGGTGTCCTACACACAACCAACAATGATCATTGTATTCATATTGGAATCATGATATAATTACCTTGGCCATCTATAGAATAATTAATTGTCATAAAATACAGAATGTACCATTGTTGATGTTCTTTCTCCTTTGTTTGAGTTTTTTGCTTTAATGTCAAACTTGGTGCATCTTTGAACAAGTATGAAACTTTTTAGCCATTGATTGTTTGAAGTTAGTGTTTTAGTTACTATTTGTCAAGATTCACTTGAAGTTTCTCATTCATGGCTTCCACTCTTAGATTCTGCATCCCTTTACATGGTTCTCATTGTAAATCTAATATTATTATTGGCGAGAATCATTGTTTTGCACATTTTGGTTCTGATAATGACTACAGCTTAATCTTTATGAAACACCTGTGAAACTTGATAATTGATTTGATTTATGACACTTGCATTCAAGTAAATCAAAGGGTGCTTGAAAGTGGGCCTCTTTTTTAGTATTGGAAAATATAAAGAAATTAAAAGCCATGTGTTGGATTCATGGGCACACAATGGATTAATTCTTCCTTATTTTCTCAAAAGGAATGGAATAAAGTAAAAAAGTACAAAAACTCTAGTGAACAACTAGTAGGCCTTTCCCACATGATTCCAATCCATCTACAAATAACATTATTACTCATTAATTTTATAAAGATATAGTTTCTTAGGATATCCAATTCAAACCCTTTACATTATCTAGAGAAAAGAACATACACACTCACACACACACACACACAATCTTTCAAAATATCCAAAATAACAAGTCCCTCACACCATCTTAAAAAAGGTCATATGATTACCAATAGCCCCCTTTCCTTGAAGGGTCAAGGGGTGAAAGGGTTGGCTCGCAGCCCAATAGGGGAACATGGTCACAAAGTCCAGATATGGAAAGAGTGCCATGGTTGCCAAGCTATTTTTTTCTTTCTCGAATAGTGTTTGTAGGAGAAGAAGCAAGTCCAAGTTGTCTGTAGTTCCCCAATGACCCAGTTCAAATGGGTTATTTATTTAAGAAAATGAGGATGGGGTGTGAGTGGGGAACAGTCATGGTCTCTAATGCAGGCCCATGTGTGGTCATCAATTTCCAAGTAAAACAATCTCACTCTCTCTATATATCAGTTGGTTCTGTAGCTTATCTTTGAAGGGAAGCTATTTAAAGCCCACACATATTTCCTGCTGTCTGCAAAGGACACAATTGTTTGGTGAGATGTGAACAACCTGGACCATATGGTGTCATGATTCTAAGGCTCACAACATGATATGATTTGGGTTTCATATTCCTGCTCATTCAGACAAATATCTGTATATATATATATATATATATATACACACATGTCTAACTATCTCTGTGTGTGTGTGTGTGTGTGCGTGTGCAAAATTAAATGGAAAAGACAAGGTAGCTAGGAAATGAATGAGGAAGCGAATTTAAATACTAATGTTATGTTTGATAATTATAGTTTAGTGGATATATCATTGAAGCTTAGAGTTGTGAATCTCTGCAAATGAGAGTGGAACATTTGCATTTCAATCACAATTGAACCCACCAATTCACTACCCACTTATTGATTACACTACCTAATGTGATCAATCAATACTTCATTTCTAGAGGAATACTAAAGGTTCCAAAGATAGATGTACAGAATTCAATTACAATGTAACGCTTGCACAGTGATTGGCCCCAACGTTTCCAGCTACCAAATCACATGAGCTTCTGATTCCACAGCATCACTGAGGACAGTAATGACCTGTGATTTCAGATATGTGTTGTTAAAAGACTGTAATCATACACCTGAGTTCACAATAATAGAGGCTAACCTTTGGTGAAGAGAGTCACTCATCGTTACAAAATTCATGCATTCACTATGCTTGTACTCCGAGTCACAAAACATTTCGCTAATAATTTTTCATTGAAACTCTGCGGCATGGACGAATACGCAAGACACTAAAAAATAAACATGGGACGTGTCTCGATAACATGGACACAGGTTGTGAACGAATACCATTTTGGCCACATCGACAATCGCGAGGATAAGCCACGTTGGTAATACAATGAATCATTATGATTAATTTGAGTATATAAATCAATGCCCTCATATTTTACAAAACGCTGTACAATTGAAGGTCACATCAAACGTTTTCAGGCCAAAATTCTCTGTAAAAAGCGGCAGCAAGGGCATGTTCTCGTTCACGTTCAGCTATAGCAAGTGCTTTCTTCGCCTTTTTTGATAAGACCTTCTCCTTTTTACCATCTGCCGGCTCCTGTTCATGAAATTCAAAGTATTATCTATGAGACACACACTACTACTAGATTAGACTTTGGAGTAAAGAACATCCTACACATTAGCTTCCACGAGATTATACATTCGAGTTATTTCACACACACACACACATATATATATATATATATATATATATATATATATATATATATATATATATATATATATATATATATATATATATCAAAGTGAAACTGGAAAACAAATTGCCTACATATTTATCAAACAAATTGTGCTATCCTAGGCACCATTTACTCAAGAAATGATCTTGCAAAAGTACTTACTTTAACAGCATTTTTTCGATTTTGCCTGTTTTCAGAGCTCATCGTTGACTTGTTTTTCTTCAAATCCGCCCCAATACCCCGCCGATCCTGTTTCAAATAGCTCTCGACTGGATCCAACCTGCCCTGCAAAGTAAGCACATCGTTGTCGTAAAAGTGCTAATTACAACCCTCGGTTCGCCGAAATACATGCTCCGATATGCTACGAAACCCCTAGAACTCAAGGGATAATTCCTATATCATGTTTGAGGAAGCTTAATCTGCGCACCAACTGAATATTTGCAGACATAGTATAAACAAACATGTCTGTTCTGAAAGAATCTATTTCGATGCCTAGTTCTCAAGAAGTTTACTTGATGTTAGACAGATTATGCATGGGTTTATCAATCAAAAGGGGGTTCAAGGTGATAGTACCTGCTCTACTACACCAAGACCTGTACCTTCCTTCCACCCAGATTTCTTGAGTAACTGCATCCACAAATTTGTCACAATCTCAAACTATCAGCTTTAACCGCACAGTACTCACAATATTCACAAACAAGGACCTCCAACGAGGTTTGTTTGTTTGTTTGCACTATGCTGCTTTTAGCGATGCTGCTTCGACAATCACTGAAAGGTGTAACACTGGATCTCACAAGCATTTGTATGCACTAGAAGCAATGGGCTCCTGCCAGGCTTCAAGTCACTGCAAAAATCGACTCGCAAAATAAAAATAAACTAGTGTCTACATAACACAAAAACACCAATCCAATTCAGATAACTCAGTGCAGTAGAAAAATAGGAAGTTAAAGCTCATATGGACCTGAACACGAATGTCACGATAGTGCATTGCACTGCATATTACAACAAGAGGGAGGGGTTCAAGTATCGCTACAGTAGAAGAATAACCAAGCACCTGGAAGCCGATATTTGATTCCGGCAGAGGATCTGAACGGACAGAGGCAGCTTCATTGTTTCCACTTGCTTCAAGAGGCCTACTGGAACTCCCCAAAAGCGATTGTGAGTTCCTGCCTGACGGTGTTCTTGACTGGAAGTTTGAAGGCAAGCCCCCAAAATTACCATAGGAGGAAGTCGACTCTTCAGCTGTAAAAGCAGCAGCACCGCGCGCCGTATTCACATCCCTCGCTCTCTTCTTTGAAACCGTTACTTGTTCAGCCCCTTTGACAAAAATTCTACACAAATCATTTGAGTTGTCCCGTGAAGACCCAGACATAGTTACGACGGCTCAAAATCCAATCTTGCGTATGAACAGACGCCTACCATCTGCACAGTAGGGCAATTATCAACAATTGATAAAAATTCACAATTTTGATGAAGCTATTCCTTTACATAAGTATAGCCTCGGCATGAATACCAGCGCATAAAATGATGAAATTACAAAAACACAACAGAGAAGCCGCGCACAGGAACTCCCACACTCGACGAACATCATGAAGTCCACCATCGTTCTCGCTGCCTACCAACATTTCGCAAAGACCTCGACGCACTCAACCTATTCATCCTACTGCGGTTCAGGTTTAGGGCTTCCATTGCATACATCAGCTTAACAAAATCCACCGTAACAAACACTAGATTCACAACAACTCCAAACAACTTCACGAATACAATTACAATCGACAGTGACTGAAATGAAGACTTCCTGGGTGATGTAGACGTGAGTTTCAAGCAAAAGTGGAAGATAAACACAGCACGGGAAACAAGATCATACTGAATTGAGCCTGCTCCTGCTTCACTTCGTTAGACACGCACACCCTGTTCTTCAGCTCATCTGATGCGGCACAATTGGAGATGCCGGAACAGAAAGAAAAAAAGAAAAAAAGAGAAAAAGAAACCCAAGTCAGTAACCTCCTTTTCCCACATGTTACGACCCTCACCAGAACCGGAATCCGTGAACAACAATCCTACATAAAAATATTCTCACATAGCATTGCGGTGCAGGTGTTACAAATGCTTCAGTTCCAAACCCTAATTCGAAAGGGTGAGAGGCAGGATGGATGTTTTTCATCTTCCAACTGCTTCCAGTTTGGGACTCAAGGATGAACGATTATCATCCGGACCGTGACGAGCTTTACCCAGGCTTCATTCAGTAACTGCGTGGATTATTTTGACACTAAAAGCTCAGAATAGTTTATTTATTTATTTATTCATTCATTTTAGGGTTTAAGTGTTCAAATTTAGTGGGGGAGTCACTACTTTGGTGTATTGCTATGGAGGATGGTGGAGTAAGAAAAAGAGAGTTACCATTTATTCTTAAAGAATATGTCAGAAATACATTCTATATTGGATAATATGTACAAAATAATCCTTCAATCTACAAAAAAATAAGAAAAAAATATTAAAATTAAAATGTAATATAAGATATTTAGCCTTTTGTATTAGTTTATAACAAACAGAATAAAACATTGTTTGCAAATCTTTTGAAAGAAATAGTATACTCCAAATGGATGTCTAAAGACATACAATTGAGATAGTGGATAGGCAATAAGTATATTATCTAGTGACTATGTAGCTCATGTCTAGTTCGTGCCAATCTATTGTATTTATTTGACAACAAAAGTAATTACCAACTTACCAATTTATTTATAATCGAGAAGAAATATTGCAAAGTTTAGCCACCTTTTACCAATCATAAATTAAAGAGACACAAATAAAATAATTATAATTTATGATATAATACAAGAATAAAAACACAAAATACATTATATGTAAAAACTGTGAATTATATAAAATTCTAATTTATTTTGAATCTTTTAGCATGTAAAATTGTTTTCTTTTAACAAACATGTTTGGATTATCTGTTATAAATTGAAAAAAAATAAAAAATAAAAAGAATAGCATAAGTTGGATTTTCAAATCACTATGTAGGTAGAGTTAACTTAAAATTTTGAAAAACAACATTGGTGTGTTGCTACAAGAACATATTTGTAATCCTCCGTGTAAATTCCAGGTAGAAAATCTGCTCCAGTGGACTGAAGCGATATATATATTATGTACACATCTGATGCTCTTTTCGATGACCAAAACTCGACACCATGAGGGACGTCAAACAATAATGCAAGAACTTTTCCAATACCACTAGCATCTGAAGGAACAGGACCAAGAAAATGTGGGGGAAGATGGCAGAACGTGCAGAGTGAATGCTTTTCTACTGTGTCGAAGAGATCGGGGGCAATCAACCAAAGTGTCATCTTACCGCTCACTGATCGGAAGGTAGTCTTCAGAATTGCGACGAATGGGAGTCTCCAAAACACCCCCTCCACGACTGGATCACCCAAGAGAATCTGGATGGAAATATAGTCCTGTTGCTTAACCAGATTTTCATAATCGGCTGCCCGTACCAGTAAGCCATCCTTCGTGGACCCAATCAACAGCCCACCCTCTGGATTTTGCTGATTGATCATCAGAAGGGACCAGCACTAGTCAGCGTGTGCTGCCATGTCTTCAATCCAGATAGAGTGGTCTGTCACATCGTTCCCAGAAAACAGAAGAGGTGCATTGCAAACACGCGACAATCAACTACGAGTACTGTTTAAGAAAATACAGAATGCTGGACACGGTAATGAGTGACCCTTACCAAATCAAGTTCTATATATTCTGGACAAGCCTACCGATTAGCAAAGCTGATTGGCATTCTCATTCTAATTCCTGAAATGATTTGTGCTCGAATGTCATTATAGCCTCACAAAATTCTGAGAGTACGAGAAAATACTTTTACTGTACCTCAGTTATTAGCCAGAACATCATACACGTATCGTCTTCCATGTAATGGTACCACATGGTTCATCGTCTAAAAACTCGAAATACATGGATCATTAAAATGACTTTCGAGTGATGTGCGTTGAATTTTCACAAGATCAGCTAATCGTACCTGTTGATAAAGTTAGACAATCGATACTGGGTCGATGGCCTGTACTTACTCTAAGGTCCTGGTAAGATTTAGTCCCTCGCAATGCAAAATGAGGTGGTCGTTAAAAGTTGAGAACTTACGTCGGATTGCCAGGAGGCTCATATTCAACCCATACTTCCATCAATACTTGATAATAAGAAATTTCAGCTCCAAGCAGAAATGAATGAGAAGCAAAGGGAAAGTCATCAGTAAAATTCAACATTGTTACAAAAGGATTTTCTTATCCAATCAGGCAGATCATAAATTACAAAAGTCGTTCATAAAAGACCGTCTGTAGTTGTTTCACATGAGCAAGCCAAGCAGCAACATTTTGTCCATCCACTAAAATCCAATCAACAGCAGTAGATGCTGGCTGCTCCCACCACTCTTCGACCTGTCAGTATCAAACAGCCATATATGAGACACTTTTCGCACGAGAGAAAAAATCTTAAATACTTCTTACGAGCTCTAATGCTGTTACTGAATGGGCCAATTGCCAATGAATTGAAGCGGCGGAGGAAACTTACAAGCCCTCGAACACGCTTGCAATCTTCTAAGCATTGCTGGGCGTCTTGCACTGCAAGCTTCAGCTGTGGAAGCCATTCCTCTAGTGCAACCTTCTCCTGCTTTATTGCTTCCGCTATACAATGCGTAGCAGTCCTGTGCAGCCAAGATTTAGGCTATAGTAAACACATTTAAACGAGGATAGAGAATGTTACGAATCTTATACAGCAAGTATAGTACCTCTCGTACTTTGGCGTTGATGCATCGGCTGCTGCAATCAATTCGCGGCCATTGCCTACTAAGTCTCTAAGCGTTTGCACTCTGTTCAAAGTTTTGGCAAGGTCTTCAAGGGCGGTTCCTGGTGAACCTCCAGGCCGCAAAAAGAACCGCATAGAGTTCAAAACCGACGCCAAGCCAGGGTCCGCAGTCTCTGCTTCTGTAACAATTCATAGATGAGCAATTCTACCTCGAAAAAGCTTGCTACAAATTTGTGCTTAGACGATTAGCACTCTAAGAAACTTAGCTTAACGAGTAAAACCGATCACTTAAGTTCAACATAATTCCATGGCTATGAAACGTGATTAAGTACTTAACATGATTAAAAAACTTAATTGTCATACCAGATTTGTGCTTCAGAGCAGCTGAAATACGGCAGGTCGTGGGAACAGCAGAAGGGTCTCCGATTCCAGCCTCTGCTGTGAGCATGTCTGCATGTCTTTCAGCAGCTACAATAGCTTGAGTTCCAGCATTTGAAGCTGCTCCTCTTGCATCCAGTAAAGCCTAGGGCAACGATGCATACATAAAATTTAAGCGAGGTGTTTACAAGAATGCATTCAATACGTGTACTTCAGTGCATATTGCACCACTTCGACCAGAACCTTAAGCTCAAACCAATTACTACAGTCGCAAGGGGCAACACATTCACTAGGACAAACGTATGCTGAGGCATGCTAATAAGGATACCTGAGAAGTAGCTGGCATCATGTACGGCCGACTGTCAGGAATTCGCTGAAATGCTGCAACTTCACGCTCCAGTAGATCACGAGCAGTACTTGCTTGGTTCTGAGCTGACTCAAAGATGGGTAAAATCGTAATGACGGATCGTTCTTTATTTACTCTGGCATGTTGCTCCCACGAAGCGGCAGCTGCCTGCCGACGCATCAACATTCTATATTCAGCACGTCCTTAACGACTCATTACTTCATGCTCTTCTATCCCATTTCCATGAAGGTATTTACATGCATATTGATGCAATAATAATATACTTTCTTTATGGAAATATTGAAAGCTTTAATGAACGATATCGATGTTTGAATAGATGTTCTTCATAAGTTTCACAATCCATGACATTTGTAACTTTAGGTATAATTGAGAAGACAGATACCGTGTTTGCACGCAGCAAGGATGTATAGATCGATTCAAGCTCCACCCGCCTGGCATCAAACTCTTCAATCTTCTTCCATTTCTCCTGTAGGGACTCCTCAGCATCTCTTCGCTCCTCGCACATCTTTTGCAAGCGCTGAACTTCAGAGTTGATGGTGTTAACACTTGCTCTCATTCCTGCAAGCTCCCTTTCTCTGGCCCAAACTGCCAGCTGCAGCACAGGCTCAAGGAATCAAACAGACTGTGATCATCATGGACTGAGAGTTACCATACGATGGTAAATAAGGTAATGCGTAGAAATTTATCTAAAAGTGCAGAATAGACATCTCATGTATTCATCAGGAAAGAAAACACTAGCTCCACAGAGATAAATATCAAAAGACGAACAGACACCTGCTCTTCAGCATACAACCTCAACAACTTAATAAAACAGACATCGTAGAGTAAGGAGACTACAGTAGTACGCCCTACCTCAAGTTGACGCAGACTTCCAGAATTTTGTACATCTGAGCTGGTCGCGGAGGGTGCGGCATCAGTACCACGTACCCGCCTAATGAGTTCATTGGTCATTCTTTTGGCTTGCGCCACCTGATTCAAGGCATCTTCGGTGGCCATAAATTGCTGAACATGAGCTTTCTGCAAAATAAAGTAGAAATAACGTTAGAAAACAAACAAGACTAATGCGAAAAAACCCACTGTGGACACAACACACCCGATCCCTCATGCGGTTCGAGGTTTAAAGATCACCTTCTGTTCTTAAAGTCATTGAAGGAAAATGTACCAGATACATGGGCTTACTTGATTGAGTAAGGCTGCCTACAAACACTACAATTGTCTGGTTTTTTGAAGTACTGGATATTGCAAATATAGACCTGTCTTTCTAGAAGCTGACGGAAAGAACTCTTGCTAGTGCCTCTGTTGCTGCGCCGTCTCCCAATCAGTGAATCATCCACTTCACCGGAAACGTCCTCCACAACTCTATTATTTTCAAATCTATACCTGCGTATCAGATGATAACAGTGTCAAATGTCTGGTTCTAAATCTCATTAAAGTTGGTCGCATATCTACATTCCTGCCATTTCATTTACAACTTCACACAAAATACAACCTTGAATGACGTGCACGGATTACAATGACCACTCAAACGTATAATTACATAGACTGAATTTCAACCTGAGACGCTCTGCATCAGCTCGAATATCAATATCCTCAGTTTCTCGGGCAATGGCTGCAACAATTCGTGAGGTATGTGCAGCTAAAGCCTGGAGTAGTAAATGGGGATTTTTCAGTAACGTAAGTGCAGTCTCCTGCACCTCCTCAGGTATACTATCCCCATCCACCTCAAACCCAAGCTTAGCGACTTCAAGCTGGGTATGATCCAGGTTGCCTCTCTCACCACCATAAGCAGAAAAGGTCGTCTTTATCGTATGCATTAGATCCTCAGCCAGAGCTTCACACGCTTGTCGGACGGCCTCATCTCGTGCAATTTCAGTCAGAAGCTGATTAGCTGACTGGCCAACCTTCGTTGATTCAGGCGTGAAGTCCGGATTTAAATCAGAGCATACATTTTTCCCTCTTTGTGCCTCTCTAGCATGCTCCACATATGGTTGAAGTCGACATGAGTACTCAGTAAAAATACGAGTCGTCTGCTCAGCCCGTTGCATGCAAGATTCCAGCAACACCTGCTTATGTCTACGAACAATCACATAAGTAATATTTCCTAAAAACCAATCCACGCATGAAATGTGGAGGTGCATCGCAGTACAAACCACCCGAATCACTCCAAATCTCCATTTAGTGGCCAATCAGTAGGGCGATTCATGGACTACACCGGCAACAAGACTTACGCTAAACAATTCACTACCATTGAACGAGAATCTGCGGTTTGGAGTAAGTTACTAAGTAATAAAAAATTGGTCCTAATAACTTTTCTGAAATTCTAAGTCAGTTTACTGCGACGCAGTGTTAATTAAAGCAAAGAGAGCAGCCTTTCCACTTAGGGAGGATGGCGATTGAAGGCTACAATATATCTAACGCAATACAGAAAGTGCACAAACCTGGAATTAGATCTTTCATCCAACACTCGCTGCCGTTCACCCTCTTCCATCGTAACGTCAGTCATGCGAGACTTGGTTTCCTTCACCAACCTATCGATTACAACCCTCAACCTCCCCACTTCAGCCATTGCAACATCTCTATCCCGCATGGCCATTTCCCGAGAATCTTCCGCTCCTTCAGACTGCAGCACTCTGTCAACTTGTCTCTCCTTTTCTGGCAAATCTTTTATCAGGGTTCGTGCGGATGACCTACTCCTCTTCTCTCTGGCTGGTGTACTCTTCACTAAAGTCCCGTCTCTTCTGAAAACCTCTCTATCATTTTTATGAGTCTTTGACCGGTCCTCTAAGACTTCCTTCTTGCTCTCAGCGGCACCATGTTTTACCTTCAGGCTCTCATCTATAGGAATGACTGTTGATGGGATTTTAGTGCCATGGATGACAAAGTTGCGCCGAATCATTTCGTTTGTCTTTTCAGACTTCACTCTCTCCAGCAAAAAATTCCAGACGGAGATCATGTTCCCTCTACAAATTCTGCGCAAAAAGTCCACCGAGGGTGGATTCTGATATCCCATTTCCTGTTGAAGCCATTTCAGAATTGTCTCCGCTTGTATACTACCATCAGATTGCATTTTGAAATCAAAACAGTCTACTTCGCTCACTGGAACTCCCTTACCAATTCAACATGTAACTCTGCACATCAATTCAGTTCACAGGATTCATGACTCTCCAATGTTCCCAAGCAAGAAGACAGCTAGAAAGAAAACGAAGCTAATGTGATATGCTAACCACAAGATTAACGGCTCCAGTAAACATCCATCTATTTGCATTCACATTTCATATCTGCATTGCAACATCTTTCTATGATCGGTAGGCAAACTATAACGAAACGGAGTGAAAACTATGTATACTTACAATTTGAGCGGAGGCTGTGACGTGTGCGTGACAGTGTCTGTACATCGGTTATCGCGAGTGAATGAAGGCTAAAGTTCATGAAAAGTGCCTTCATAGAACACTACGAGAGCACCAAAAAAAACAATACACGGAGTAGCTAACAAGTTATTCAATCCCAGAATACTCCAACCGATAGTGACCTCCGGTTCAAAGAAAAAAGCACACTATTGATGTTCTTCTCAAAGGACCTAGCAGCTGTATCACTGAAAAAGCTTCAGCATCGCTAGCTCCAACTACTTCTTTCACAAAGAAATACAGCGGAAGCGGACAGCTCACATCCGTACACTCTTCCACACCATCGATAATGCTGCACTTCTCCGAACCGAACATCCGTGGCTGACAAAAATGCCGCGCGAGAAAGCAATGTTCTTGACTGGATGAAATGCCCGGTGCCACAGAACCTTCATAGCTGAACTTAATAGCCCCAACACTTAACAGTGCAATTGAAGTTCAGTAATCATTAGGCCGTAAACATTACGCCTCGAAAGCTGAAGACGAACTGTACTGCACCGCAATAATAATGCACTCATAAGGACGCAACCTCCTTTCACTTCCCGTATCCCTATGCATCACTCACTCACAACTCAAAATCCAACTCATTAGCTACACACGCATTGTCCGTAATCAAAGAAATGCCAACTGCAGTTAAAACCTTCGTGATCGCACCAATAGGAAAATTAAAATGGAACTGAGAGAGCTACAGAAAAGGACTAAGAGGCCATGGACGGTGCGTACGGAGCTTCGAGAAGACTGGAAAGAAAAGGGCAGAGAAACAGAGCCTTCGACTAGGCAAGCGAAGTCTTCATGGTCCGTGGACCAAAATCTGGAGGCAAGACTCGGTAATGAAGCGAGGGAGAGGCGGAGAGTGGTTGCGGAGCGAGCGAAAGGCGGAGACGGATAGAGATCTTCCGTAATTAATAGCGATGGCGACGGAGCAGGCGCAGTTTCCTGCAAGTTCTCGGGACTGAGCCAATTCTCCGAGCGATTCAAGGGCATTACACCCCTCATCACCCCTTGAATCGCCGGTTGCAATGGGGGGCACACTTGCGCACTGTAGCCTTGGCTGCGGCGGCTCTCCTCTCGCCCAGCGTTTCGATGGTATTCGACGTGATTGAATGCATCGACTACTCAGATTATTATTTCGCGCACACACGAGGTATCGGCTGCTTGAGCTTAGAATGGAAATGCCACACTTACGAGGCAACCTGCACACCAATAGCGTGACTCCCAGCGTTCTGCTTCACAAATACGGTGTGACAAGTAAGTTTAGATCTGCACACAAGCGGCAAGTGAAACCAGTAATACGAATGTACTAATACACCGCGTCAGATGGTGGAATTAGTGGGGTTCTTTGTTGGATCACGGTCCAGAATTGAAGAAGAATGAGGTCCTCGAAAGTAGAGATGTCTAGTGTGCAATAATATTCAGGCTACAACTGTATTCAAAGAGAGTGATACAGGACCTCAATTCAGTGAAAAAGTGGCCCTTCGATTATCGGAGAAAGAAAACCAAGCCGCTGGAATACTTTACTCGAAGGCAAGTTCAGTGGCATTCGGGGTGAATGTTCTCAGTCGTCGTACCTCGAAGAACCTGCCTCATGGTACATGGCATCTTGGGTCTTACACCTCATAACAATGCTACAATGTTTGCGTGGCACAGAAGTCGATGCTCTACGACTTCGACGATAAATTTACAATAGAATCCAACAAAACGCTACACTCTTCTAAGTTTTCTCTTTACATTAGCATCACAATCCAAGGGGAACGGATGTCTTTGTTTGCCAAGGACTACCAAATCTGCTGAATGAGATAATCTTTCCGAATCATTACTACCAATTACCCCATGGGACCTATTAGGGACTATGGGAGTATTCTTAGAAGCTACAGGAGATGTGATGTGTAAATGGGCTGAAGTAGAGGAGGAAGGAGAATACTTCTCATCCGTAAAATCTAAAGTTCGCGAGTCACATACGGGAGACTCTTCAACAGCATCGTCGTCGCTATGAAGGTCTACTATCGTAGCTTCAATGCTGACGCCACCTTCAGGTAAAGTACATTGCATTCTAGCACTATGCACTTCTTCCTGGATTTGTACCTGTAGTGACACCACAAGATCGGTATGGATAGTTTTGCTACTGGAAGGGATAGAACGATCATTCTCGTCGGTGACTTGGAGTTCCTGGGCCCTTTGCTGGGGCGTGGTTTGTACATCTGAACCACTTGAAGGGGACCCTTCATGGAGTTGCATGAGCAGGTTTCGAATCGCACTGCGCTTGGCTGACACTTCCGATGATTTGAACCAAGTTCTTGTAAGCTGTCACATGCCAAGAAAAGGGTTAAATATGTAGCACGAGGGAAAAAAAAAAAAAAAAAAAAAAAAAAAAAAAACTTCATCAGAAAATACCAGTATCTAAGCGAATTCACTCCATTACTAAAGATTGGACAAATGCTGTACGCAAACCAAGATGACAGGATGATATAGAGGGAAGAAAATCCACTCACAAAGTACGGAAACCCTTCAAATGAAGCAAGATTGAAGTGCTTAGGAGCCTCCTTAAGAAAGAGTTCTACGTAATGCAAGAGATAAATTCCACAATCACAGTGGTTGATTTGTTGCGGGACCTGCGAACACCAGCAAGGGAGTTGAAAGGCATGCAGCATAAGAACAATACAGACCTTTTGTAGTCGTAATTCAAGCATTCTGATGGTACAAGTAAAGACAGACGAAATGTTTTGTTTGTATCAACGTACTGTCGCTACTTTGTACTTCATTTGGGAAATTATTTCCTTTGATGCAGAGTGGTTGGCTGAACTTTGGTGTTCCTCCATCCATGCTTGTACGATGTAGCTACACCAACATAACAATACGAATTAGAGCCATTCGCATAACCCATAAACAATTGGAAGAATGCATGCCCTCAAGTGATTTGTAGAAATCAGTAGTAAAATCGATCAAAAAAGGTACAGGTCAAGCAAATACAGTAATGACAGATGCCACTTCCATTGGCTTACTTTCGGATGTGCTCTTCGATATCATCATGGTTCCCTTCCATGGAATCCAGATGCAGAATACAAGGTGTGCCCCTGCCTTCATCTGTCAAGGAGCGCTAGTACGAATCAGAGGTGTCTCTTGAGAACAGAACCTTTAAATTCGATAGACAAACCCAAACAAATTGAAGAGAACCAAGCATCAATGAAGAGGATTCACTCACCAGGTGTACTCCTCAGAGCACCAAGATGACACACAATAATGAGGCTCCAATGTAAACTGCAAATCCAAGGTGCGCAAACCACAACATAAGAGCAGAACCACGCAAATCCTTAATAGGTCTGGTGCACATTGAAGCAAAATGGCTAAATCTTCACTGCAATTTCCACAGTATACTAATGTAAGAAATTGTCCGCAATGTATCGACTTTTTTATTAATTAAGACACTCTCACCCACCCAGTAAAAGAGAGGAAAAGAAGGAAAGGAGGAGAAGGGGAAGGTTACTCTTTCTGTTCTTCTCTTTTTCTTGTCTGTGTACATTTATGGGGACTACTCTATAACCATTGCAAATGACACAACAGAAACGAAGTTTATGCAGAACACAAAGCTGAAAGAAATTGCACCTTTGATTAACAGGAATAAAAACGTAGTCCTTCTCAAACAAGGACACCTTACGAGTCCACTTACGCACTGTGTCATAAACGACCTTGCCTCGATCAGGGCCAGTGTATTTATTGCTGGAATCAACAAGCTTTCTAAAGAAAAAGCTGTTGAAAAAATAAAATCTACCCAAGTCCTTGCTGGAGAGCTGATTCTGTAAATATCTGCATTACGCAAGTATGGGATAATTAAATGCAATAAAAGATAGACAAGACGAGTAGACGAGCAAAACGTATATAATCTATAAACGAAGATTCGAATACTTTCAATGTAAATCCTTCTAATGCAGGATGTTGTCACATGTACTCAAAGCACTACTGTACATCCAAAACTGTGGCTTCCTAATGAAACTCTAAACTTACTTTATATAGAAATCAATAATAGTATCGTTCAAAAATCCCACTGGTCGTAGTACGTCCACATCCTTTGATGTAATTGTAACAGCATCTGGGTCACCTGGAGGGTACACTAGAGTTTCAAAAGTGCGTGACTCTGGTTTAAGCCTGTTGCGAACAATCAGCCAGGAAAATCAGTTCACGACCACTATAGATCTGACAACTTAAAAACCACAAACTATACACGATAACACTTTTAACTCATTGAAACTTAAGGCAAAAAATATATCAAATGCCGAGATCAGGATTTAGCAAAATTCTGACCTATCCGAAGGTGAGAACATTTCTCCGGATATATCTGGTTCAGGATTCCTGCCCATTCAATAGCACATTGTTGGTGTACCTCAGTCCCAAAACCTCAAAGAATTGAAACAAGATCTACAAAAGCAAAAAGTGCGCTGATTAATCCAAAAACCGAGCACAAGACATTAGGGTCTTGTTTGTAACCGCATTAGTAGGAAAAGACTGAAGAGGACTGACAATCAAGCTCTTAACAATTCAACTACAACAAGAACTCTAGACATCATAAAAAAAACTCAACAACTTCGAGAAACCTTATAAGACTCCTGTTGAGTGATAATTCTTCAAAAGGATTTCTTGATAACTTCTTCTTGTATTTCAGCATTTCTTCGCTGATGAACATCGAAGACAAAAACACTATAGATGAGTACAGAAGATTATTCTGAAATTAGTATCTCCGTCACATATGCTCTATCACTTGTTCAAATCACGGTTGGCAGGAAAACACCATGTATGATTCCCATGATGATACAGTCATCAAAGTTAGAAGCTACCCACTAAAACAGAGGACTGATATAGGTGTCCTAAGTAACAGGGAACACTTGAAAAGACTAAAAACCGATACTTAGAAAGATGAGATTTGCTCCTCAGAAGAAACCCTTTAGAAAAATCTATAGAGAACCCATACATTTCAATACGTTTCCAGACTTCTCGATAGCCTCGAGACAATTCAAAAATTTGTCGCTGCTGATCTTTCCACGTATCGTTTTTTATTTCCATCACCAGAGACTCCGTCAAATCTACACAAGGAACCAAAATGCAAATCGTCTTAGTGTATTGACGTGAATGCACTTATACGGCATGATGCTCTTAAAATTTCATCCTTATCTTAGCATGTAACCATCAGCAACTAGTGGAGATAATGAACCACGAACAAGGTTAACATTGACGCCAGCGGAGGAGGGAACAAGGAAATGGTTCCTTTTACAACAATCAAATAGCATAATCTCAACTTTAACCTCGTTTAAGCGACAAAAAAAATTCCCCTTGGATAGGCGTGCGAAATTAATTCTTGTCACAAGACTCACATGTGACCAATGCAGCGAGCGAGAACAAAAGTTCATAAAGGTTCGGAATATTTACCACTGGGATTTGTACACTCGTAATTAGAACAACGCCCAAAAACTCTTCGCTTATGCAGAAGTAAAACAATAAGTGCTTTCTCGTCTGCCTGCAAACCATTTCAGAGTTAGGAAATAAAATAGGAGAAGATTGATATACAAAAGTATTGAACCACTATTCTGGAATAAGCAAATTCTACATTCAATATACAAAAGCAACTTCTGCATTCACATCGGTGAGACAACAATTCAAGCTCCAATCAGAAAGTAATTCCTATACGCGACCAGCACAATATAGAACATCTAATCTATCAATGCCCACACTTACGTTCTCAACATGAAACTTGTAAAAGCTCTTAAACACACAAAGGTCTTCTCGTTGCCATTTTCTGGATAGTATCTCCTTTGCTTGCTTCACTTCAACGTGTTTTGCGGAAAAAATTACAGTCACAAACCGTCCATAGTGTTGATTAAGCCTTGCACGAGAAGCAGTCACAATCACCTGGTTAGAGTTGGAGAAGCTCGTAAATTCTTTGTTCCTGGGCATTTCTTGTTTAGAAGTGCAGCTTGAAGAACTTATTTGCTGCAAGCAGTCAGCAAACAAAGTAGGATCAGTTCATCCGGCAATGCGAAGAATACTAAATGATCATGATTAGATATCATGAACGCCTGAACTCCGCACTTCCACAACACTATCATCTTAGAAATGCGAAACCATCCCAAAGTTTGGCTTCTGTGCACTGTGTGCATGAGCTTACAGTGCATCGCCCAATGTACTGTAAGTACATTAGGCGGGTGAAAGCCATGAATACCTTGGCATCATAGCTCCAGGCACGCACACACGGAAAGATGGGTTTAGAACAGAGTAAGAAACAAATTATCCTACAATAGAAAGACAATTTACACACAAACAAAGCGGCCGCATGCTCGTAACGAGTCAACTTTGCGTGCTAGATAGACTAGGCATATCTGTGCATACTTTGCAAAAGATATAAAATAAGATATGTGCAGCACCACGCTGTAGGCTCTTCAAGTGCTAACGTGGAGAGTTGCTAAGATAACTTGCCTGATTCTCATCTTCAGACATCCCAAGCCGTTGCGTATGCCTCTCTGACCTTGGTACAGAACTTGTCACAGTCAATATTGGCTTCCTTCGGCCTGCCATTGAGATAAGAATTTACTTGGAGTCCGATCATTATTGCAAATGACCAGCGCCCTCAAAATCGATTTACCCAAAGTACAGAACGACAGAGAACTCACCGACAGCGGGAAAGAAGTAGTTGTGAAACCCGGACTGGTAAGTTGTGGAAGGAACTCGCTCCTCCTCCAGCTCCATCTCGAAATTAAAGGCAGAAATATCAACGCCTTTTGCAACCTCAATTTTCTTACTTCGAGACCCACGATCGAACATTGTGGCTGCAGTCCGTCACCCTGCTGACCCACGGAACTAATCCTTCCCTATCAAGATTCAACTTGGGTGCGAATCAGCGCTACTCGGAAGGAACATTGCACAGTAATATAACTTCTCACTCTGTTGATGCTTGAAGACTAGTCCGTGCTTCTGAAGGAGCTGCACAAACACGATTTGTTACTCACGTTTGTTCATCAGACGCTTTGAAGAGTCGAAATTGGAGGGCTCGTACGTCGTTTATGAGCGTCTGAAAAACAATTCAGATTTTCAACGAGAGGTATTTCTGTCGGACTGCCTCCATGTATTTCTTTGAACAGAAGAGCACAAAATATTGGTCTGAACATTGTGTAATCATTAAAACTTGCAAAGCATATTTCTGGGCTAATGTACTGACAAAGCCCTAATTATCACAGATTCTATTCTACAAAAGATCCTTACAAAGTACAATTATGCGGTGAAGATGGTGAACAACATAGTTTCAAATGTTGCTTGACCATTGCACATTCAGGTTGAGTCAAGATGGCAGAAAATTTGCCAGGAAACGTAATCAACAAATAATTCACGTGAACCGACCATGCAAATATACCGCCAACCCTTACTGCCACGATCGTTCTAAACAATAAGCTCTAAAAACGACTGGATCACTAAGTTACGGCTACTTACCAGGGTGGGTATCCAACCCCAAAATTAACTACCTCAAAGAAGCATCAATTTATTTGACAACAGGGGCAACAAGTGACTGTATTCTCTGCAACCCTGTCTGCAACCGAAAAAAACTGAAGATTCTTCATCGACCATCTTGATTTTCTCCCAAAAACATGCTCTCCGTCAGAATAATTGGTCACTGGTAAATCCCCCTTGCATGAACTTGAAAGAGAGAAGATCGATTTACACTAGATTGACGAACGACCAGCAATGACTCGCGATCAGTTCCATCAAACTAATCCCCTCGATCTACACAAGCTCCCACCCCAGCCTCCCAAATGCCGCTCGATACTAATTTCGTGCATCCTCGTTCAACCAAACACTGACCCCCCCTCCGCCTCATGAAACCTCAACATCTCCAAGAATTGCCTTCCAACCATCCACAAATCCATCGACATGGCCTCCTCCCCCACCGAAACCCCGTAAACTTCGAAAATAGAATTAAAAAAAATAATGCCAAAAACAACAATCAACCATACGGGATTTCCACTCCAACACATACACCAAAACGCATCAATGCACTCCTCGAACCAGACAGGAGGGTGGAGTAATCAAATCACCTCGTGAACTAGTCTGCCCCTCGCTGAGTCCTCACAACACCCCGAATCTCACAGCCTACAGCCACCTTAAACCTAAATCGCCATCAGATCGACTCGCTCGCCAAATATTCACCGCTGCTGCGAAATTCACCGCCATGCATCGACAAACGAAGGACAAAAAACAATAAAATAAGCAACGAGCTAGCAATAGAAGCGTAGAGTCAGGCAAGCGAGAAGATGAGCAACGGCAACGTGACTGAAGGTAGGGGCTGGAAGGAAAGGGAGGGAAGGGCGGGCTGAGGGTGACAAAAATGGCGCCCCCGCAGCACCGAAACCCATTCGGTTTTGTGAGGAGAAGAGGGGCTGTTGATTCAAAACCCCCCGGTTCCAATTCGAACGTCCCGCTGCCCTGATGGCGATGAATGTTCGTACTGGATAGTAGCGGGAACCTGAAAGGGAGCTCCAGCGTCGTCGATTCCACATGGCGTCATCTCGGAGCGTGCTTTCCCCGCCTCCTCCGTGAGGGCGTTGCATTTGAAGGCTTCATGAGGAAGCCAGGCGAACGCGGCGTCTAAGTGGGCCTCCTTGAGGCCCACGTCATCCATAATGTCCATGTCATCTCATTGCCACGTGGATTGTCTGAATCGATGGGCTAATGGGCCCGCTCAGAGGATACCACTCCCCCTCTTTACAATTTTTGTGCACAACTGAGTTAGGTTGCCATCTTTACTACTTGGAATATGTTTGAGCGAAGTTTTGTTGATAGTCTCGTTGATTAAGTGAACGTATAACTATGGTTATTCAGTGAGGGATTGGTTGGTTGGTTATGTCCTTTGTTTACTTCTTTGGTGTTTCTTTGTTATGTAGAAATTTTCCTTTTTTATCATTTGGAATCAATTTTTATTAGTAATGGTCATTCAAATGCCAATACTTTTCGTGACAATTTGCATGAACGGATAGCATTTTATTTTAATTTGGATGATACATTTTGTTGTGTTTTTGGAAAGAATGATATCATGAACAAATGAATACTTCTACACGTAGAATACACGAGTCTTTGTAAGTAAAAATAAATCAACATGGATGGAACACAATTATTTTGGAAATAACGTTTAGTTTTTCTACTCGATTTTTATGACTAAATAAGTATGACTCAATTTTTTTAGAAAGCTATATAAATAAGTATATATACACATAAACAAGTATGTATGAATAAATACATATATATATATATATATATATATATATACATAAGAAAGTGTATTTTGTCAGACAAATCGATTAGATTGCTTTATTAATTCTGTTCTCATTAAATGAGTGCATTTGATCACTTACATGTATTGCTTCGTTTTTATTTATTGCATTTCAACCTATAATATTAACGAATTACAAAGAGTATTTTTTTTAATTTAAATGTCTCATTTTTCAAAAACACTGATGTTTTAAGATTATATGAAGAAAAAAGAAAAAAGAAAAAAAAAAAAAAAAAAAAAACTATAAATCTTGTTGTTTGTTTTACAAAATCAAGTTGTGTACATGCATACGATTCCATTTTTTTTTTTTTTTTTTTCCACAACAATCAAAGCACCTTAAAGTTGTGAAATATCTACTTTTAAATGGACAATGCATTTAAATTTCATTCACACTAACTTATTATTATCAATTTTGTCAACATCTACATAAAGAAAAGAAACTAAAAGAAAAGGAGACATTATAGTGTGTACAAGTGAAAAGTTAGTAAATTCAATACAACTGAGTAGTTCCATACTACCATCAACAAAAAGAATGTAAAAGCATATGTATTTGAGTATGAATTTATATAGTGGTATTGATAAATGAATGGATTTTAAAACCGGAATATTTTTTTAATTAAAACATTGATTATACATATCTATATATATTCAATTGTGAATGGTAGAAAACACGCAATTTTTAAAAATAACCAGAAGTTTATTTCTGTATCAAAATACATGTTTACACATATTCCTGTCTGCACATGACAGAACCTTGTAATTACAATTGTATTGCTTCGTTGCTCTGTGTGTGACCTTTTAAACTAGTTTCTTAAAAATTCAATGTCTTACTATGGTGGCTTTGTGTATTCATGTGTACAACAAAAAAAAAACATAGACATTATATATATATATATATATATATATTTACATCAATTCATCATTTTGTCTAACATTCAAAACATTAATTTATAAAACTAAAATTATTACAAAATATAAATCGTCCCAAATATCTTGCATAATGGATAAGTTATGGTTTACAACACACAAATGAGGAATAATAATAAAAAATAAAAACTTGCATACACCAAACATTTCAACCAAAGCATTTCAAGAAGAATAACTCATGACAAATACATGTCTATTTTTATCAAAGTAAGATTATTCAACATGATGACTATCATGAAAGGCTTTTGCATCTAAATTGAAAGAGTACTGAACTAACCACAAATAAAGCACCAAAATATACCTGAAATCCAAGGGCTTCACAGAAAGAACAACATTTGGGATACTAATTCCCAGGGCAAAAAAAAAGAGACAAACAGAAAAAAGAAGAAGAATAAAATGGAGGTTAACTATATGGTGTTCTCTGGTAACATATTATATATGGGTAAAATAGTCGAACCACCACCGGAGAACACCAAACTCACGAGATGCTCAGAATATTCCATCCCAAAAACGACCGGAGAAGCCGGGCACCACGACGGACAGCTGTCCAGATGCGCCACGTCGACACCCGGGGGGCGCACGGGCGGATCCTCTCAAAAACGAGGAACGAGAGTTCCCGGCATGGGCCACCACCATCACGCGCGAGGGGAGGCGACACCCGTGGGCAAGAGCGCGGGGTCAACAATCCCCGGAACGAGAAACTTCTATTAACGCCACTCAAGGAGAAGGGGGAAGGGGGAGGTGGGGTAGTAAGTTACTACTCAACCAACTGATAGTGTAGTTAGCTATGCTGGTGTTGCCACTGGGACAAACAATCCTGTTGCCCCTTCTGGATCCCTCTCTCATCTGCTGCTGTTGCTGCTACTGCACTGCTTCCGTCGCGGCTGTTGTGGTGCGGGATTTCCATACCCTTCCTTGGATTCGGTTTCTTCGTTGCGTGTTCTGATTTCCACTGGCCGGCTCGGATTCTCGGAGCGGATTCGCTCGCTGAGTCTGGGAGTGAGCGGTGCAGTTGACAGTTCCTCGTCCTGGAAATATAGATTCATTGTATTATTATTATTATTATTTAAAAATACAAGATTAAATTGTTATTATATTTGGGGTTTGTGTTTTTTCGGGCGGTCCGAGAGTTGGAGCCAGCATCTAATGGTATTGGTTTCTGAAGTGGTGCCCCGGATGTTTGATGCTGGGGTGTGAGTGGTGAAAAGCAGTTGGATTTTCCATTAAACGCGAAACTGCGTTGGAGTTGGAGCAGTTTTTCTGTTTCGTTACCATTTTTGAGTTTGTCGGTTATTTTGTCGTTGAGGAGAGGATTTTTGGACGTTTTAGGTCATATTATCTGTAGTGGAGGTGTTGTGGATGTAGTGTGGTAGTAGTGGGGGTGAGATGGAGGAGATCGCTGCTTGAGAGAGGCCAGATTGTGAAGGTAGAGTTGCTCAGTGTTTTCCTTTCTCACTTCGGAACACATTGAGTGTTAAGTGGATTAAGTGAGCGAAAATGCCAGCTTCAGCAACATGGGCTCGGCCGGAAGATCTTGTGGAGAGCTTGAGCTCTTTGGACAACACGGCCAGGCTCAAGGCACTGCGGGATGTGAAAAATCAAATAATCGGAAATAAGACCAAAAAACTTTCCTACATAAAGTTGGGGGCCGTACCGCGGGTTGTAGAGATTTTGGCCAGCGACACAGAGATTCCGCTGTTAGTGCAGTCAGCTGCCGCCGTGGGAAGCTTCGCCTGTGGGATTGATGCGGGAGTTAGAGCTGTTCTAGATAGCGGCGTTTTGCCACACTTGCTAAAAATGCTGCAGAATGGGGACACGAAGGTACTGTCATCAGCGTACTCAACCTCTCGTACTTGTGTAACTTTTTACTCGCAACCTAATTATTTCTCACATGGTCCTACTCTTTTTTTTTTTTTTTTTTTTTTTTTTTTTTTTTTTTTTTTCTCTTTGTAAATGGTGAGGCTCAGCATTATTTTGCAATATGCTGAGGAGTTCCCCTACTGTTAGCGATTTTCGAGAATGCTTCCTGCTGGAATGGTACCAAATGTTCAATGAACTTTGTTAGGGTTTATGTTCTCGTCTATTCAGGATGTGCCTTACTAGGATAGGTTTCGGCGAGTTGCCGAAGCCTTGAAGCTGAGTCAAGGAACTATCAGCTTTTTTATTTTTTATTTTTTATTTTTAACGGATGTGTATTATCCAGGTTGCGGAAACTTGTGCTCGCGCACTGAAGATGATCTTTCACTCACCATTGGCTCCAAAGAGCGACATGTTTCAAGGACATCGCATGGAACTGCTTCTGCAGCTTCTGAATCATGATAATGAGAATGTATCAGAAGTCGCTGCTCGTGTTCTTGCTAGGTGTTGTGAATCTAAGGAGCACCAGCAAGCTCTAGCGGACGCTGGCGGTCTTCAGAGTCTTGTTAGCCTATTGGCAGGGTCTACTAAGATTCGAGAAGCCGCTCTAGATGCCTTGGCAGCGTTAACGAAAAATAATAAGCAAATATCAGAAACGGTGATAAAGATGCACAATGGGGATGCTTTGATTTCGATCATTAGGCTTATCAAAGATAAGTCTCCACTATCCCGACTGCTGGCATGCATGTGCCTGGCAAACATTGGAAAGGCTTGTCCTGGTGGATACGCACAAGAGGGTGAAGTACGAGCTACTATGTTGGGCATTCTGATGAAGTTACTGGAAGAGGCTGGTCAAGCTGGAGAGGATTCTCCAGGTATTTCATCTAGGACAAAATTCGTGGCAATAATTTCATTTTTGACAAATTAACAATGTTTATTCATGAAGTCATATTTGATTGTTTTATCATTTAAAAAAACCGTTATAAGCATAGCTTAGTCAATGTTTCAGTAGAGTTTGGACGGTCTCTTTTTCTGGCTACCCTTAGTAACCGACAATGCAGGTGTTGAGTCACGATTTGGTTCAAGAATAATATGTGTATCATTCTGGTACTCGGTACTTGTTTCAGGTGTATTAGCTGATTTGGTGGCGAACAACGAAGAGTTGCAGAAAGCTGCCGCTGAAAAAAAAGCAATTGAAAAGCTCGCCGAGTTCTTACTTCGAGAGGAAGTTCCTTATAAGCAGCTGGAGGGAGTTCTATGGGGGCTTACAGAACTCTGTGCTAAACTTGAGGAGAGCAGACGGCAGCTTCTGGAGTTGAAGGTTAGGGTTATTAATACGAGATTTTCTGCCTGAAGGATAATATTAGTGTTAAAGTTTAAATTATATATAAGCCCAACACTGGAAAGAGCTTGTTGGATAGCCTCTTTTCGGTATGGAAATTCTACAATTGCTTCACGTGTTGCATACCTCAGACACACCCTGTTCCTGTCTTTATATTATTTCTAAATCACTCGCTTGTTAGATGAATAGATAGTTCGCACGGCAGTCCGAAGTAGTTGGTCGTCTAGGACTAATCGAAGTAGGGCTGGATGGTGTTAGGATTGGAAAAAGTTTAAAATCCTCTCTGGCTTTGGCTGCCTCATTGGTGCTTCGTTCATCGGTTAGTCATCTTTTTAGGTTTTTTTCATAGTGTTAGCTTATCTGTTTCGATTCTGTTCTGGTTACCTCCTTTCAACCGCCGGATCTTATATCCCTACCTATTATCTCCCGTCCCTATTATCTCTCTTGGATACGAGTGTTTGCTTGACTGCAGTAAGAGGTTGTTATTTTGTCCTAAACCAAAGAAAGTGAATTTTCAGTGGATATTTTCAGTTCAATGAAATATCACTGACGAGCTGACCAGCTATTGTGCTAGTTAGTTCTGACTTTGATCAATGATGGTGGCTTGCAGGTTGAAGGTTCTCTTGTTGCGGCATTGCGACATCCTTGTGAAGGGGTTAAGGTGGCCGCTTGTTCTTGTATTGCGAGTCTTTCCCGCTCAGTCAAGGTTCGTTGTGCTTCACCTGTTCCTCCAGACCCTTTATTTCGCAATCAAACCAAGTTGCTCTTTAGCATGGCTGATTCTGGATTCGGCAGGAGTTAACGTGAACAGTTGTTTTGATTGTCGTTTACTTGTATCGAAGTACAGCTTTGTTTTCTTTGTTTTCTTTGTTTTCTTTATTTTTTAAGCACACGTACAACAACTTGCACCATTACTAAAGCAAATCCTCGTAGTTAGTAGACTCTCGATGTCAACCTTTCCTCTACAAGTTTTCAACTCTTGAATTTTGCAGCAGAGACTAAGAATTGATGTGGAAGTTTGCAACAGAACCTGCGCACTAGCTTGGCAAGCGAACAATTTGTACGGCCGCTGTTGCAACTTATGAACGATCCTTGTCCAGGAGTCCAGGTAGAGAGCATTTTTAACAAAGAATGGATGCTCTTTGTGCATCAAGTTTATTACATTTGCTATTGATGTAGCTTATCTTTGTTAGTTATGACAATGTTTGTTCTGGTTTCTGGTCGAGAAGCTTCCATTTGGGAGTAATGCGTAATGATTAATTTTCAATATACTTGCTATGCAGGGTGCAGCCTTGACTGTGGTGGGAAACATAGTCCTTGATTTCACTCCGCAAAAGTTGGTGTTTATGCAAACTGATGGGATTGCCCAGCTCACGAATCTGTCGCAATCTATGGATCATACCTTAAGGCGGAATGCAGTTTTGGCCTTAAAGAATTTACTCTTCATGGCAGACGTCACGGTAAAGCGTCGAGTAATGGCTGAGCTAACAGTTTCCACTTTGTGTGATCTCATTCGAGGTAAATTATGTTCTCTTTCTGTATTGATCATACTTTCTGTTCTGTTCACAAGGGTTGCTAGGGTTGACCAATAAGTACCTATTCAGTAGACTCCTTTCATATCCAAGGAAAGGTTTCAACTGCAGAGGGTACAGCCGTGGTAAATTGAAGATGTTCCCTTGGGTTATATCTAACTGAAATGATTTGGTTCATTCTTTTCAGACCCTGAAGAGGAAGTGCAGGAGCAAGCAGTCTCTCTTGTACGGAATCTTGTTCACGGAGATCCAGATTTTATAGAACAAATCTTCTCTGATGGAAGTATGTTATTTCAGGCTGTAGAGAAGCAGCTCACCAATCATCGTCTAGAGGTATCTGTGCAGGTGTGAACTCTTGTAACCTTTCCCTCTCCTTGTTAGTTCTTGGTGGTTTGTTTTTGATAGTTGTTTGTCCACGTAAGTGAAGTCATGACTGCGAGGTAGATTATTAGTAAATGTTTTACCTGAAGATTTGCCTTTGTTTTGTGACTACGTCGAGATAATACTCTGAGACAGTAAGTTTATGTTGTTGAGATTAGTGTACGAGATAACACTTATGTTGATCCGACCGTTGTATTGCTTAGGCCCTCTATGTAATGAACAACGTAGCATGTGGAAGTGAGGTGCACAAGGAGGCTGTTCTGGCGTCAGTCCTTCGTTCTCGCTCAGGAAACAAAAGTTCCTGGCTAATTTGTTTTCTGCAAGACATGAGCAATCCTCAGCTCAGAGTTGTTGCTGTGGTGTGCATCATCAACCTTTTGGACCCTGCTGGAGGTGATATTAGCTCACGTGTGATGAGGCTACGGGAAGCAGGGGTGGAGGCCCAGCTACGCAAGATGGTAGATGATTCATGTCTGGACGTCAAAGTAAGAATTTTATTCTCTTTTTCTCTAGTAAAAATATAATACTCTCGTTATCTGTAGTATCATTCTCTTTTTAGGATTGTAACTTCGAATGTGTTTCAGTATGTCTGCAATCAAAAGCACATTTTCTCAGGTTGATTTGCGAATAAGAAGACGCAATTATTGTAACCAATGGTCCTTGTAATCATGCAGTATCACGTGAAATCAGCTTTGGAATGCTTCACGCCTGCAACTGTTACCACCTCTTCGGGACGCTGATCTGCAGTTATGAAGGAAGCGCTTATTTTTGCTGACGGAACCTCCAGCATCCCCCTTCGCATGATTTCAGTACGAAATGTAGTGGGTGGTTCGCCTCCTGGGTTTTCGGTGTGTGCAGTCGAGATATGGGTTTTTTCCCCCAAGTAACCCAGGCCCTAAGTTCTTGCTAGTGCTTGTAATGGGAATTTTTAAGGAAGCCCATCTATATATCTGATGCCATGACCAAAAAATTAGTATCTTGATGTACATATTAAGGTAAGTCGGTCTTCTGACGTGTCTTGTTTTGTGAGTTTTTAAGTGTACAGCTTGGTGAATTGTGCTTTCATTATTGAACCGTGTGTAGAGTGAATTAGTTGCGTGTTAATGAATGGTCATGATTCTTCCTTTGCAGCTGCAGAGGGAACTACCCAGCTTCAAAATATGACCATGGTGGTGAAGTCTTGAAGCGGCATCAGATATCGGTTTTTAGTGTCTGAGGTCGGTTTTAGTGACTGAGTGAAGCAGCCGCCTTCCAGATAGTGTTGTATAGTAGCTGTCTGAGCTTGGCTTGTCTGCGGCGTAGGATTTAGAGGCATTGTAGCTTATCGTTGGGTTTGGCTGTATCACTTGGTCCCGTTTAGTTCTATCATTATTGTCGAAGATAAGTCTCTAAGCATGTGCTTTGGGCTTTTGGTATCAATTATTTCAGTGAGAATTAGGATTCTGTATGACCCGATGCATTTCAAAGCCCAATGCATCTATTTGTGTCCAGGTTTGTATTTTACAAAAACCCGTGTTGAATCCGGGATTCATTATTGAATATTTGAACTGTAGGATCCTCCTGATCAGGTGTGTACAAAGCTGGAAATGTATTGTCCTCGTAATTTTAAATTGTTGCCTATATTAATCTCAAATTGACAATCCGATTCATTAATTGACTCTCAACCTCTTCTCCTTTTCAAAAGCCTTTATTGCCTAAAGCATATGTGAACGGATATCATGTTCAATGTCCAAGGTTCTCCTGGAGAATGAGAACTGTTTCTGGACGAGAACGGCGGAAGTTACTGAAGTTGACGGGGAACCGTGAGTGAAGTTCAAAGATAATTTCTTCTCTCATTCATCCTTCAGATGTTGGAGCTCCTCACTCTGGTTCGCGTAATTGGCATCCACAGTAAGATCTGCAAACAGCAACTAGGAAAAGATGTTAGTCGCCAAGTTTTCAACGCAGTATGCATGTGACGAAGTATCACTAAAATTTTCAAAGCCGAAGAACATCTGTAGAAACAATGAGTAAAGTTTCTGTCACCTTCCGACTGCAGCGAGAAATTCGCGCTCGACGCTTCTTGAGCCTGTTGGTCAAGAAGCTGCAAAACGGTTTGACGCTCGTTCTCGTTTCGCAGCAACTCCAAATGCTTCCTCCGCTCTCTGAACTGCGCCACTCTATCCGCCAGCATCTTGTCCACATTCTGCAAATTCTCTACCCCAGTGATGAGAACATTCCGCGCCGAGGCGACAGCTACTTGCCCAAAAAACGGACCCAATAATTCTCGACTCTTAGAATCTCGTCGTCTCAGATTGTCTGGGTTCATTCCCATACGATGCTTCTGTGCAAACCCTGGGGTAAGATCTTGCTCCATTCTGAAATTTTACCGCGTCGTCGCAATTCGAACCTCAGCCAAGAAAACTTCACACACAGTTACTTAATCCATGACATCAACTATTTCGGTTATCACTCATCTGCACATCGTAGCTGCCCGATTCCGCTCCAGAAACCCGCTGGCAAACGAAATCGATCGACACATAGCCAGGCACAACACCACCCACCTCGACGTGTATCACGAATCGACCGAGTTTCAACGTGACTCAACCATTGATCAATCACCAATTCAGACCTTCGTTCGGTCTAAAAACGCTGAAACGTAATCAGAGAGGCTTTTCACCTGAGGCCCCAGCTCGCAAAATGGCGCATTGCGACAACCTGCTCTTGCGAATGGGCTTCGTAATCTTCACGTGGAGAAAATTAGGGCTTTCGATGGCATGCAGAAGAGTTACAGTTTCATGGCGTCTGTTTCGTTGGGGCAGTTGTATGGGGATCGCCGTTATGATACGAAATCCTCTCTATTAGTGTGGCCGACGCTATGATAGTGTGGATTCTACTATGAGCCATTTTAACGTTCATATTGCATGCTTGTTGAGGATTTTTTTTGTCACTCTAGAAATGAAACCAAGCGACTTACTACAGTCTCTTTTAGTAGACTTTGGTGGGATCCATGCCAACTTTATTGTTGATGAAATTGGTTATTTTATTTTATTTTATTTTATTATTTTATTTTATTATTTAATTTAAAAATTTAAAATTTAAATATATTTTAAGTAGAAAATTGTGTACCATATTGATATATGGTTGATAAATTGTATTTTGGATCTATATTGTTGTAGTTTGTTGGGATCCATTTTGGACATTTTGAAATGTTATTGTACTTGATATGGTGGTAATTGTTTTCTTGTCATATTGATTGATAATTTTTAAAATTTATATATATCTCTTTCTATATATATATTTATACATGTAATCATTTAATTTTTTTCTTTCCAAATGGTTATAATATTGAAATGTAAACTATAATATTGAATTTAAATTATAAAATTACATGATTTCACATAAATAATAAAACCTTGCATAATTTATAAAATCTCTATCTATTGTGGTTACTAATTAGATGAGATATCACTATATATATATATATATATATATATATATATATATATATGTATTTATTGAAGTGCATAATATCTTACTAGATAATTTAAGAATATTAAACTTTGTAAATACAATTAATTTGAGCTTAAAATATAATCTTGAAAGCAAGTTGGTACATATGAGAGCTAACAACTTTGCAAGAATGTTTTGTGTATCCTAGCAAGTTAAAATATTTAGATATGTGTAAGTTATTAGCTTAGGAAGAATTGCATCTCAAGCCCCTTGCAACTAGAAATAATATACAAGCACTTCTAATACTAACTTGAAAACAAGAATTTTTAGTTGATACAACCATTTTTTTTAATATTTTATCAATAAAACTACAAGAGATAAGGAATTAGAAAATATGAATATTGTCTATTTGATATCCATTGAAAAATCCATTCCATAGAGGCAATTAAGATCTTGCAACAATCTACCATTTAACAAAGTAGTCAATACATTATTGCAGCTTTATTAAACATCTTTATAGAAAACTAATCATGAATTTTTTCTCATTGAAAAAAACTTATGGTACACTATATAAATAGTAATGGTGATGATTCATAAGCTTTTCATATATATCAAAATTTGAAGCAATTACTTTTTATGTATTTGTACAAAATATTAAGACCAAAACAAATACCTTTGTTTATCTCTTATAAGACCAAAGTTGTCAATAAACTAGTTGGAGTTTTAAGTGAATGAATTATTCATAAAACATTAGAATGTATATAGTTGAATAAAATTAACATTGCAATAATTCTACTTATTTATGTTGTAAAAAGCAAAAAAAAATATTTTTATAATGCAAACTAAAGTTTTTGAATATTAGAATCAAGATTATATTCTTTATTTAATATATATAAATTATCAAAAATATAAAAAATTTAAAATCAAATTATAATTTAAAAATAAATTCTATTTTAACTAGTATTATTAATTAAATAAAGAATATTAATTAAGAAAGATACTATTATATATATATATATAAATATATGTAAATATTTTATAATAAAAAAATATTTTTAGCATATATAAAAATATTTTTAAAAAATTTGATAGAACCTATTTACATTATAATTTTCAAGGATAAGAATTCAATAAAAAAAAATAAATAAATGAGACCTTTTGAAAGCAAGATGAAAAAATAGAAATAAGAAAGTATGTATATTAAAAAGAAATTAAAATGGCTATGGCCAAAAGATAAGATAATTAGAGACTCTTGAAATTAAGCTAAAAGCATATATACTATCTAATTAAGAGCTATGTAACAACGTTTCATAGGACCTTTGATACATGTTCAATTTGTAAGACACATGTCTTAACTTGTAAAGCAAGTTTTTTATACATACACTACATGATCAGGTTGAATCTTAAGCTACCAATACATAGAATACATGGCTAATTTGTCGGCCAAATATTCAACCTATTAATCACCTTTCGACACATATAAAGATAAAAGTGCATCTATAAAGCTTCTAAGAATCTTATCTATAAAATATTATTATATTTATCTATTTTTAATTATTTCTACTTATTTATATTATCTATATAACTATTGGCATAAATATGTATATATGTAGACAAGTTCCACAAAGAGCAGTGATCACATGTTGATGAAGTCCAAGATGCAATAAATTATATTTGCCATATATTCTAATTTTTGTTCTCTTTAAAAGTAGTTGATAGATCTTTTTAGCCACCAATAATGTCTCATTCTAGGGTAGGAGGACCACCTTGTTATTTGATTATTGTTAAGGCCTTTATAACTTTTTTTAAACATCACATTTGTAATACCATTAAGAGCCGTTTCTATCTCTAATAAAATCACCAAACATTGAAAGTTCCTTCAAAGATCATGATATCAAACATGTTGTAATTCACCATCTATTTAAAAAACAATATGTCATGCTTGAAGGACTTTGTTTCTATTATGTCATCTTGAAGATTGTGACAATCGTAATTTTTTATCTAATAAGTCAAAAATAATAGTTCTTAAATAGAATTTTTTGGTTGTTGATTTTCTATCTTCTTAATACCACAAATTCACAAAAACTATAAACAAGGATAGAAAGTAGAATGCAATCTTTTTTGAACCATGTTTCTTTTATGGCAAAGATTTTTTTGACTCTATATTTCAAATAAATAATTTGTTAAATTATCTACAATAAAATTATCAATTTTTAAAAAGCCAAAAGCATCAAGTCATAGATAATAACCATAATTATGAAAGAAAAGTATTTGTTAATAAGAAAAATATACTATGTTATTATAAGCAAACTTTGCTAATGATGAAAGAGTTGTCTAATCATTGTATTGGTAGTTGATGGTATATTTCAAATACTACTTTGAAACATGATTTATAAACTTTATTTGTCCATTAATTTGAAGATAGAAAGCCAAAGATAGTTTTATGTCCACCTTTAAAATCTTAAAAAGGATTTTCTAAAACCTTGATACAAATTGAATCCTCCTATTTGATATAATATCTTTGGACAATCTATAATAACAATAGATGTTGTCAAGAAAAAATTTAGCTATTTTTTCATCTTTGATACATATTATACATGGTATAAAATGTGCTATCTTAATGAAATAATCTATTATTATAAATATAGAGTCATAAAAACTTGAGACTAAAAGATCCATGTTAAAATCCATAGAAAAAAAAGACCATAATTATTTATAAATAGATATGGCTTAAAAAAATCCATAAGATTAATGACGAGGAGTTTTTCATTTACAACAAATGACATATAATTATATAAAGTCTTTGACTGTCTTGCACATTTGAGGCCACCAAAAATCTCTAGATATTAGCTCTAAAATCTTATTGTATCTAAAATGTCATAGTACTAAAAAGTTGTAATGACCTTGGCATATAGTGTTATAGTTCTAAATTTTTCTAATATATAACAAATATAAAGTTCATGATCTTTTGTACCTTTAGAATAGATTAAAATATCATCTAGATAATAAAAAACAAAATCATCTAAAAACTCTTAAAAGACATCATTCAATAGATGTTGAAAAGCTATTGATACATTTGTAAGTAAAAAAAGCATGACATTGTATTCAAAAATACCAATATATGTTTCAAAATATAATTTTTCATTCATCTACTTTTTTGATACATACTAAATTGTATGCTCTTTATAGATTTATTTTAGTATAGATCTCACCTTGATTCAATTGATTAAAAAGTTTAAATATCAAGAGTAGAAGATACCTATTTTTGATGGTAATCTTGTTGAGCCGTAAATAATTGACACACATTTGCAATGATCCATCTTTTTTCTTCACAAACAAGATTGGTGTTCCTATTAGAGATTTTAAATGACATATAAATTTTTTGGCTAAATTCTCTTCTATACATTCTTTGAGTTCATTCAACTTATTTTGTAATAAACTATAAATTGGTCATAATGGCAATTGAATCTCCTCTTGAAGATCAATTGAGCAATGATAAGGACAATGTTTAGAAAGAATATTTATATTTCTTTTTCAAAGATATCTTGATATTTTGGATATTGGCTTAGAATGCCACTTAATATCTTTTTACCATTAAAAATAAATGTGGCATAAATAATACAAGTTGATCTTTCTATTATAGCATTTAAGAAAGCTTTTGCTTGTATAAATAAGAAATTAATTGCATTAGACTTTTTAATATGTACTTGGTTGACAAATTCTTAGTTTTACTTTGAAAAAAGTTAAAACTATGATTATTCCAATTTATTTGAGGGTTATACTTTTCTAACCATGATAAACATAAAATAAATAGATTAAAGAGAATTTTAATTATATTAAATATAAAAAAGCTATTATAACAACTAATTTCTATTTTCATAAAAAATATTTTATGAGTAATATCTCTAAAAGATAATAGACGACTATCTATGACTTCTCATGAATAGGTATAATTTTTTTTACTAAGAGTATGATATATCTTTTAACAAACTTTTTATTTAAAAATCAAGTTGAAGCTTTTGAATCAAACAAGGCAAAGGCTTTGTAATGTTTAGGTTCTAAACTAACATCTATTTAAAAGAATGAGAGATTTTTGAGGAAAACATAAGATCTTTACTAGATGTTACACAAGGTTCCAATCACATAATTTCTATTGTAGCTAAAGAAAGTTATTTTTTGACATATTTTTTCTTTTGATAGCCATACTTCTTACTTTGAAATTGTGTTGCTTCTTTAGACAATATTGAGCAATATGCTTAGGTTTTCCAAAATACAAGCACAATCTTTTTTGATGATATCAAGTCTTTTCTTGTTTAATAAGAGATTTAAAATGTACCATATTAATTTGCATGTCTTTTACTTCCAAATGTATATGTTAAGAAGGCAATGGTATTGCTATTGAATTATAAAGATGTTAAGGTTTACTTGTATAATTCTCAAATCAAAATTCAAGAAGTTGATTATCACACTTTACAACAAAGTCAATGGTTGTTA